CCGGGCCCTGCGTGTGCCCGGGCGGCCGCCGCGCTGCGTGCCCTGCCCGCCGCTCCCTCGGGGGGCCCGGGGAGCCGCCTCGTGTGCGGCGCGCCGCGATTCACCCGCTCCCTCCGCGCCAGCGTACCTGTGCGCCCCGTTTAACGGGAGGCTCGTGGAGAAGCGCCGTGGTTGTTTTGGCTCTGAGCGAAAGATCGCTTCGGGAAAACTGGTAACAGTGTGAAAAGGGGGTCGGGGCTGCGAGGGGAAAGGATGCACCGAGGGTCGCGCTCGTGGGGATGTCCCCTGTGGCCTCCAGGGCTCGCAGGGAGCACCCGCTGCTCGYGGCACTGGGGGCGACACGGATGTTCCCATCCCAAAACTGACTCCACCTGCCTGCGTYCCGGCCCTCTGGAGAGGGAAGAGTGGGTAAACGAGCATTATTTCTCAACAAAGCTGCCATTTAAGCAAGAAAGCGACACTCGGGGGTTCTAACTGTGTAGAAAACACGGGCGGTTCCCTRGAGGGCTTCCCCTGCGGGAGGGAGCTGCCCGAGCCGCCTCGGGCTCCGTGGCCACGGGGCAGAGCCAGTGTCGCGTGTCGCTCTGCACTTGCTCTCCACGGGGCTGTAACCGCTAGTTTCGGCTTTACAAAGCTTTAGCTCGCGCTGTATCTTAGGGCTGTGAAGCGCTCTCATCTCCTAATTGAAAATAAAGCCGGTGTGGATGGCGCAGGAGCTTCTGGTTCGGCATCAGTGCCCTAGGAGCAAACGGTGTCGGTGTCAGGTGGCGATGGTGTCCCGCAGAACTCCATCATCGTGGTTTAAGCTGACGTCAAGATGCTCTCGGGATCACTAATCTAGATGTTGTAGAGTAAGGAGAGAACGTAATTTTTTTTTCCCAAATGGCAGTAAGCTTAATTTTGTTACAATATTCCGGTTTTCATGTTTGGAAGCTCAGATGTCTCTTTTGGTGGTCCCCGCCTCAGAATCGTAAAATAAAGAGAGAACTGAGGCAAACTTCCTTCCAAGACAGCTGGTGCCCAGGTTTTGAAGCATGAATGTGTTTCTTCCTGAAGTTCAGGATTCCTTGTTTGATGAAATTAGGTGGCCACCTTCCGCGCTCCTGTAACGTTTCACCGCGGGTTCCCAACTGAAAAAACTGTCAAAGGAGCTCGAACAACCCAAGGGGTCTGACGGTCTCCTCCTGCCCTTAGAGCAGACTCCGGGAAGGTGGTTCCTAATCTGATTACGGTGTCCCCCGAAGCGCGGCCCAGGAGCGGCCGYGGCGGACGGGCCGCGCGGAACCTGCCGGCACCCGCGGCCCCAACGGCCGCCACCGGCGCCGCCTCCCGCTCCCCGCTCGGCCGTTCGTCGTTGGGCGCCCCTGAACGGACGGCCGTTCAAACAGCCGCGGAGCAGAGGTGGTTCCTGGCCAGCTTCCCGAGCCTCAAAGAGGTCCTGAGATGACGTGAATGAGCATCTTCACCTGAGGTGTGAAKTAGCTCGCCTTTTGTCGGTCTTTCGACGTTGGGCGCTCCTGAAAGGGCCGTTTTTCAAATACMTGTGGAGCAGAGGTGATTCCTGGCTGCCTTCTTGAGCCTCAAGTAGGTCTTGAAGTTACATGAATGAGCGTCTTCATGTGAGATGTGAGTTACTCCCCTCAACTGGGGGAAACTCAATAATTCCGCTCCTGAAAYCAGTGTACTACAGGGTTAAATAAAAATTTTATTTTGACTCTTGTTATTTCAATAGATTTCACATTGTTGCATAATCGTATATGGTCTCTCACAGCTTGGCTATATGAAAAGTATATGGCATTTGCACTTCCAAAATGGTTTTATTGCTGGAACAAGTTGTGGTGAACCTTTGTGGAAGTCTTTAGAGCACTGGCCTCTGGCATACTGAAAATGTAAGGTAATGAAAAATATATTAAAATTTAATATTAAGCACCTAATCCTTTTATATTTAGTGTACTGCATAAAACTCTTTGCCTCAAATGAAACATGAGAATTATTTCAAGTCAGTTCCTTCTTGCCGCCCTAGCAGGCTGGAGAAGCTTCAAGAGCTGTCGCACTACGTGGATGTGATCACTGAGTTTAGGTGTCCTGCCTATAGCTCAGATGGCTGTACGCTTCAATGTTAGCTGGGAAGAACAAGAGAGTTAACCATGCGCTAAATAGTTTGAACAAGAAAAATATGTAAATAACCTAATATGAATTAGGAAAGGTTTCTGTATCACCAAGGTGATAGAGAAATTAGTAGTAGTAATTAAAGGCAAAAACAAATTTAAATTCCATCTCTTCAGCTCCATGCAAATCTACAGGTGATCTAAGGATAAATGCTCATGTTTTTAAGATGCAAGTTTTTGTTTGTTTTTAGAAATAATAATTGGTTAATCTCGAATTGTCATTTCAGACTTTTTTTTTTAATCTTAGCTATTTTAATGAGCCTCATATAGAGCCTGACATGTTTTGCAGTTGGTGATTAGGGAAAATTAAATTAATGTCACTGTGTTATAATTTAGAACAGAATATACACTCACACAACTTTTTACATTATCTTATTCAAATTTTGTGGCGCTTTCCCCACATGTTGTTCACGTAAATTAAGACTCAGTTCTTGATATGGTCCATTGTGTGGCTGGGTGAGGAGGACGTGTTGACAAAGAGCTTAACCACAAGGCCAAGTTTTAGTTCCAAGTAAATCATGTGGTTTATTTGGGGTGGAATTTAATTTGAGGTGGAACTGGATTTTGATACTAGGGCAGGCTCCATAGGCAAGAGCCTGTGGAATAAGGGTGCTGAAAAGAGGGGACGGGAAGGAAGCTTAGCTACCTGTGAGCCGAAATCCTATTTTATTAAGTCCTAAACCACTTCATATAGATCCCTGAAGTCACTGTTTGAAAGTAGCCTTGCTGCTTTTCCTGCCCACACCCTCAAAGCAAGTGCTGGGAAGAACCTGGAGCTGGCCTCGGGACAAATGTGTCTCGTACACATCTGTGTCACTGATGTGTCACTGACACATCTCGTCAGTGACTCTGGAGAACTTTGATTTTTGTGCGGGTTCAAGATGCGGTAGCAGCAGTTGAAGCTAAGGAGGGAACACCCCTGTGAGCGAAGTGATAGATTTAAAAGCAGTGTTAAATATATTGGATCCCCAAGAGATGGGCGTGCCCTGTGTCTTGGTAACTCAGATAAATAGTGCATGTTTTAAATGGTTTAGACAGCTGCCTTTCAGTCAGTTTCTGTGACAGCAGCACTGGTTACCTCTATTGCAGTGTGGCCATTTACTTACCTCTGGTTTTGGGGAAGAAAAAAGAGAATTCTCAGACTTTGAACTTACTTTTTATTTTCTTCTGAAATATAAACTGATGATATTTATGAATTTCTTTCATACTAATAACAGGTTGTGTGTAAGTTAAGATTACAGTGTGAAACTCCTTTCAGTTAAAGCCGTGTATCCGGATGCGAGTCCCCTCTGTGCGTCCCCGCTGTAGCCAACACAGCGGGACCAGCCCTTCCAGCCTCTGGGCCAGGGCTCCCTGTGTCTAGCACGAGTCCTAGGGCCAGCTGCAGTCCCGTTTCCAGCAGCCTGGGCACCAGCAGGTGGAGGGCAGACTGGGAACTGGGGGGTTACTCGCTTTCCGGGCCTCTCCAGTTAGCAGGTCCTGGTGTCCGGGACAGAAAGTCTTTGACTGGGAAGAACCACTGTATCTAGATCCTGTAACTCTGTGAAGCGACGCTCCTGTGCAGGGCAAGAGCCTGATGATGAAAATTTCAGGTTGACACTAAATATTTCTCATTCATTTTCTTTTCCATGGCTTGTTACCACCTTCAGAACACAACCCCTCTCCCCTAAACGAGAAAACGCTCCTGGTTTCCCACCTGTGGCCCTTACATAGTCCCCTGGCAGGCGTATGTTTCACGTGATAGCCTGTTTCCTATACCATTAAAAGATGGATGTTCCTCTGCAGCTCTTCTAGCTGCAGGGTGGATTGGAAAAAGATTGGGCCCAGTTGAGCTATGAAATGCTGATTGCTGCTTGCGCTGGGTGTTAAGTGTAGAATCCCTGTTGATGTTTAGCACTGAGACTTCTTTTTAAAGCCAAGATTTAGGGAACTATTGGCTTAAAATAGAACTCAGAAGATTCTTTCCTCATTTGTTAGGGTGCAACATAATAGGCAAGAGTCTTTTAATGCATTTCTTGAAGTTAAGGTTTAATAAAGGCAACAATTTCAATTGATTCCTGAGCAGGATTCCTAATGCTAGCCTGTTCAAACTGAAAACTCTCCAGGAATCAAGATTTGCAGAATGTACTGTTTGTGCTATGGAGGTGGAATATGAATGTTTCTTTTAGGCTGGAAAACCTCTTTATCCTATATACTCAGTTGTCTAAAATTGAGGTAGGATTTATAAATATGGTACAAAAACATGAACTTAAATAGCTTTTGCTTCAGATTTAAATCTTGAGTTAAGATGARTAGTCTCTCTGTATCTTGCATATACTAATCTTGCAAGTTAAACCAATTCTTTTCCTTTGATATGGGGAATGTGCATATGAGGAGTGTTCTAGAGACAGATTTTAAGTTTCCACTAATTATATATGTCATTTTAGAGTAATGTATGCTGCTAGGAAAAAACTGAATATACATCATCGAATATCAGTACCTAGAAATAAAAAGATAAATTATTCAGCACGAATTTAAACCATGCTTCTGTCTTCCTCTTCTGCATAGTGAGGAAGAAGATGACGATCTCCAATATGCAGATCATGACTATGAAGTACCACAGCAAAAAGGACTTAAGAAGATATGCAACCGGGTGAAATGGACACGAGATGAGGTAACACCTTCTGCTTTAGTTTCTTTCCTATGTGGTGTTGGAAATGTGCTGGAGTGTGTTGTATGTGCTGAGTTGGGATAGCATATATATTTATTGGCTGAGGTTGTCTTAACAGGATGAAAAGCTGAAGAAGCTGGTAGAGCAAAATGGTACAGATGATTGGACTTTCATCGCTAGTCATCTACAAGTAAGTGTGAATCTCTTTTTCAGTTAAGTTTCCTTTCAGTATTTTTATATTTTGGTGATGTGTTTGAAAACAAATGATAGAGAAGTTGGAAACAGTTACTAGACAAGACTGTTTCAAGGACTGTTTATAATTTGGACTTGAAATCTAGCTCAGACTTTAAGAGCTTATCAGTTCATACTGAGACTCAAATGATGATCTGAAATTATCCAAAACCCCTGGTATACCTACATATACATATACCTATATTTTCTGTCGATTCGGGATTATATACTTAATTTGTCAGTTGTGTCCTGTTGTGCTCCATGGGGGAGTTTGAAGCCACAACTCTCTTACTTGTTCCATCACTAAATGATTCCTCAGCTAGGAAAACCATTGTATGATTTGGACATTGATGATGTTTCTTTATCTTCTAATTAAATGTTACGAAATACCTACTATATAGGTATAGATAGACTATRTAGCTAGACTCTACAAAAAAAGAATTAAATTATTACTTAAAATTGAAGTAAAATGTATAAATGTTAGAAATCAGAAAATTTAAAAACTTTTGATTGTAAAATTGAATGGAATGACATGATTGAGTAAAGTACACATGCAGCTAGGTGAAAATAAATTTGAATTCTAAAAGCTGGACTGCAACTTTTAGATGTTCCTGTCATATTTGTGCAATTATATTGCTTTTTTTGATGAATAAGGAATATAAATTATCAAGTCCTTCAGCTGAAAACATAATTTTGGAGACAAATRGGGAAGCAAGCCGACCTGTTATGACAAAACAGGATGAAAAAAGTTGTCTACTCCCCCTGCCATTCAGCCCAATATAGGAAGTTTTCATTAATCTTGAAATTGAGAATAGAATCAGTTTTAACTTGCAATGTTCACTAGGATTCCTCCACCCTTGTTACCTTTGTTCCTATCCAGTTACAAAGGTGGAATTAAACAATGATAGAGATGGGAAGAGAAACTAGGCTGCAGGGAAGAGAAACAAATAAAATATTGTTCAAGTGTGCTTAGGTTGAAAAGAGGCTGCCCAACTCTCATGGGAAACATGCATGGAAGACCAAGTTGCTCTTTGCAAAGACAAGCAAAGGTGGGCACAGGTAGCACTTACCTTATTCCTCTTGATACTGTTTAGCTAGGAAAGCCAACTATATTTTGAATTATTAGCAAGTAAAGACATTCAGAAACTGTCATCTTTTCAGAACTCCATCTTGCTGTTGGACTGGGTACAAATGAGCCTCCCCTTCATCCTGCCCTGAAAGTAAAGTTGGCCTAAAGGTGACACAGAGAGGGAATGCAGCATGTTTTCTCTCTCAGTTTTTCGTAGCTAAGGCAGACCTGAAATGATTTTGAAGGTAAATCATTTGATTTGAAGGTAAAGCACTGCTAGGCCATGATTTCAAACTTGTTCTTCCATTGAAAATTTGGAATAATTGTTCTCTGTGTTAAATGTGCCTTTTATGGCTTGTCTGTATTGGAAATTGATGTTTTATAACACATTGTAGTGTGCTTTTAAACATACAATGCCTGCTTGTGAATAACTTTTCTTTTTTGGTCTGCAGACTACCTTATTTAACTTCATTTTAGCATGATAATTTCTTCATTTGGTAGACAGGCTCAGCAAAGCTGTAATCATTGCTAACTAATACGTGCAACTTCTTGTAGCTAAGAGTTTTAACAGGTCAACCTGGTCTCTAAAACTATTTCAGAATCGTTCAGATTTTCAGTGCCAGCATCGATGGCAGAAGGTGCTAAACCCCGAACTCATTAAAGGTCCGTGGACTAAAGAAGAAGATCAGAGGGTAATGAAAGCTCATTGATACTTTAACTATAGTTAATAAAAATAAAGTGATGACCAACTGCTAAGGATATGTGAAGATTTTCTGTGATCTCATCCCCACACATTGTGCTTGTCACATCTTGTGCTGCAGATAATTGCATTATATTATGCAGAATAAAAGTGCAGCTGTTCTTAAGTAAATGGGATGTCTGGTCTGCTCAGGTGTTTAATTTCTCTTTACTCAGGTTGCTAGCTCAATTGCTGTAGCTCACAAAGTAGAGGATACCTCTCTGGCACTAAAGATCCAAGGTGTTACTTACATCTTCTGTTTTCCTCAAACCCACCAGACTTGAAGAGSTTGGGAATGGGAGAAATTTGTTTGTACTCTACTGTTAATGAAACTGAAATGACTTTTTAAATTTCATTCCCACATTTTTTTTTCTTTAATCCACACTGCACCTCTTTTCCTGCAAAACCAGGGCTGTGCTTTAGGGGCACGTGCATTTAGCTTTCAGATTTGGCATAGACTGCTCGTTCTCATTGTTTAAGCTAAGCTGGTTCAAACTAGTATCTGTAAAATTGTGAATATGGTTCCCTTAATTTGTTATTTGATAGCTCTTATCAGTCTTTCAAGAAAAATGTTTGTATAATGTGAAATAAAACTGAAAAAAATAAAAATGGTGGAGACTGGGAGAGGAAGTTTTTTGTATTGTCTTGCTAGTGTATTTTGTTCTTGTTTTTTTTTTTTTATGTGTGCATGTTTCCCAGTGTCAGTCTTTGTAATGTATAATTGGGGTGCTGAAGTTTGCAAAAAACATGTTCATCAGTATACCCTAACCCCAGAGCTTTAAAGTATAATAATTGCTTTGGTTTCTTCAAAAGTAACTAACAAAAACCCCATATAACCACTGCCTCTATAGGACTAGTTTCTTGCCAAACTGACTGTTATAATCCTGTTCTAAAACATGAGTTTATCGGTTGCCTTAGTCTTTAGAAAAATTACATCTTGGAATTCTAACATAGTTTCCTCTGCATTCCAGGTTATTGAGTTAGTTCAGAAGTACGGTCCAAAGCGCTGGTCTTTAATTGCCAAACACCTGAAGGGAAGAATAGGCAAGCAGTGCAGAGAGAGGTGGCATAACCATCTTAACCCTGAGGTAAAGAAGTCTTCGTGGACGGAAGAAGAGGACAGGATAATCTATGAAGCTCACAAGCGTCTGGGAAACCGATGGGCTGAAATTGCAAAACTTCTTCCTGGAAGGTGCTTTTCAACTTTATTTGTATTGAATATTGGAATATGGAAAGCAGGCTTTGCACAAGTCTTTCCAGAATAATTTGTTAAAGAACACCCGTTGAAATTCAAGTCATCATATCTTGATAGATACTGAAACAACTGCCTGTTGAAAATCTTGCGCATTTGCTTCTGTGTTCTTAAAAATCTAGAACACAAAATGACCAACACATCTSTAACACCTTGGAGGTTCCCTCAAATTCCTAACTTGTAATTGTCGAATTTCCAATAGCTGAAAAACCTGTAGTGGGGCTCAGGAGAGCAAGGTAATAACTGCAATTAATAATGGAATAGTCTGTGCTATCACCATGCTACGATTGTGTATCAAAGCCCCTCAATAATATGTATTTGAAGTGACTTTATTTTTGGTTTAAGTTCAGAAGTCTTGGGGGGAGTGTTGTGGAACATATCAAAATTGAACATTTGCAAAGCAGATGAGGTTAGCAATCTTCAAAGCCTAGACTTGGGAGAGATTCACTGCAAAGTCAGTTAATGTTAAGAGGTTAACATGTAGTCTATAGAATCAAGAATGAAGTGCATGTATTTATTGTTCTGTTTATGTTTGCTTTAAAGTGATTGCCAATTTCTATGCTGTAGAAAATAAAACTTGTGTGTGTAAAGAGTTTAATGAAACTTGTAGTGTTATGTTATTCAMTGAAATTCAATGGTAAGCTGAATTCAGAATTCTTTGTCAGTCTCCTGAATTCTATTTGTGTGTTCAAGAGGTGACTGTCTTACCTCTACCTGTGCCTAAGGAATGTCAGCTCTTGTTATGGGAGGAGAGTGAGCCCGTTGGGATGTGTGTTTAAAAACTTGACATTTTGGTTAGTTACTGAATTTAAGTTACTGATTGCAGGAAATCCTTTGGAGGAATAGTAAGGGAGTGGATTGAATCTGAAGGAGACTTCAGGGAGCATTTAAGGACAGAGGCATTCCCAGTTCACTAGCTTATTCAGTGAAAGTAAATCCAAAATGACTCTTTTCTAAAAATTGGTTCCTTAACTGAGGAATTTGTTAAGAATTTGTCAATAGGGAGATGAAAAGGGAAAATAACTCTTGGAGTTGAATGTAGATATAAGTATGGAATTAAGCCCCATTCTTTATTTTTGTCTATCTCTCTGTGACACTGGGCACTTAGTATTAATATATACATTATTTTACCTTAATGTTTGTCTAGTGTTAAAAGTGACTCCTGCGTGTTTGCTGAACCGCAGACCTTCTCTTTCCAAGGGAGTAGTCTTTGCCATGTCTGCTTTTCCARTACAAGACCAGGGCACCAGGAGATAGTGCCTGATCTTGGAGATCACCAAGCTGCACAGGCTACTCGGGGAGCTGGGAATGCAGGCTGTCATTTTAGCAGAGATGTTTTGTAGTGGCAAACATGAGCCACGTCACCCTTACTGTGCTGCAGGACAGTAGGGTGAGTGGGGAAGCTTGATGTTCTCCTGCACGTTTCTAAGAGATGCAAAGAGAATAAAGTGATATAGCAATAGAGAGTGTATGGCTGTTCTTGAAGTAGCCAAGAAAAAGGATTTTTGTCTCTAATAACAGCCAGAACAAAAGATCTCTCATTTACTTTTAAATTTCCTTCAGACTTAAAAATTCATGTKGAAGACTTTTTGAGGGGGGCGAAAAAAAAAAGCAGCTTTTCAGTAACTGTGCAAAGAAACCCGTGATTATGAAATTGTYAGTCAAAGCTGCTCCAGCTGCCTAGATTTGTGGCTTTGGATTAATCTACTGTACAGGCTCTGCAAGTGTGTTAAACTTTGAGATATGAAAACCAGTTATTTTTGTACACTTTCATTTTAGGACAGATAATTCCATTAAAAATCACTGGAACTCAACAATGAGAAGAAAGGTGGAACAGGAAGGATATCTGCAAGATGGTATAAAATCCGAAAGAGCTAGTTCATCCAAATTTCAGCACAAACCTTGTGCAACTATGGAACATGTGCAAACCCAGAGTCAGTTTTACATACCCGTTCAGACACATGTAAGTTCTAAATCCATGATAATTAGAATTTCCCAGTTTGGAATCATTCATTGGGTTTGGAAATAGAAATGAATGTGTGTATGTGGGGTGTTTTGTTTTTTTTTTTTTAAATCTATTAAGTCACTGCAGTACATAGGAAAATATTTAAGAAATTTTAAAGCTGTAGTAAGTGTATATAAGTATGGTAATCTAGAGATGATCTTATAGAATCCTTTGGTTTAGAATATATAAAGTCATGTATGTCTCTTAGATTCCAACATACCAGTATGCATCAGCCGAAGCGAGCTGTCTAGAACATGCTTCAGCCTCTTCCAACTTAATTCAGGTAAGTTGTTACTGGGCATTGTTAGTGAACAAAATCTGCTTTGTTTTATAATGTATAATGAAGATTTAAAAAAAAGAAGTGATCATTAAAATGTTTTTATTATTAATTAAATTTGCCTAAGCATTCCTCTATTTGTAAAGAGCTTTCACTATTTAAATGAGAGTTCTAAGTAGGAAAAAAAGAGATCTTTGTGGATCTCAGTGCTGTAGGTGGATCTATCTTGTATTTTTTCATAAGAGAGCTTTATAAGATGACGTTGCAGGATATGATAAGTTGTGTATGGTATGTAAATATATGTATTGGTTATGGTTGTATCTGACGATTATAGCTTAGAAAATGTCTACTAATTAAATTTCARGTTAGAATTATGACTTGTTTGCATTACCAAGCTTCTGTGAGACTTCCTTGCAAGATTTTATTTCCTTACACATGCAATAATACATCTCTACTTGAAAGATTCGGTTAAAATGACATACTGTGATGTATATTTGACTCTACTGTTGTCTTCAGTATGTTTTAGACCCTTTCTATATGATAAACCTCTGTCCCTCAAATAGGCTGTTTTGCATCGCTATAAATATTTAAGTATTGAAGAAAGCAAAAATAACATTACTGACTATTTTGGTTTCCTTTTGTGGATGATACTGGCTCACTTGGAATTGGAAGTGCCAGACTCCAAGTGTTGTAGACTGGAAAGAGATCTTGATTTGTGATATGACCTTCGGGAAGAATTGTTGTGAATTTGGATTTGGTAAAATGATTGTTCAGATAGAGGGGGAAAGTAGTTTGTCTGAACTAGATGTGCTAAAGGCATTTGGCAGAAGTCTGCCTTACCTTAAGTTTTCTTGAGCAGTTCATCTTTTCATATCCTGGGGAGGGAGTTCTCACTAGGTTCTCCCTCTTTCCATCTCTACTCTGGGAACAGAATTCACCAAGCTTGCAAATTRTAAGGCCTCATGTAGCTTTTGCCAACTCAGACTGCCCCTTAAAGGGAAGTTTAAGATATATTCTGCTACTAGAAATCCCTTCAGAACAGGAGGAAGACTTGTAAAGGTAGAATAACTAGCTTTCAAATGCATGGCATATGTCCTTATTTGCCATGATTTTTTTTTTAACAGTTTCCTTAGCTATGCAGCAATATTGGAAAAATAGAAGAGAAAAAAACAGCTAGTTCTTTTCCAGTAGCAATGGTGGTACCAAATGTTGGCTTGCTTGGTGCTGGTGTAGATTCTCTGCCAGCAAGAGCTAGTTTCAAGCACTGTCTCACACACTTGCTGAGGATAATCAGATTCAAAATGCWGGGGAACATGTGAACTTCTCTACATGAGTTCTTGTGCTGTTCTGTCTATCAGAGCTGGAGCCCGGCGTTTTTCTCTTAGTCTGCTGAAGTCCACTGAACACTTATGGACTATATTGGAAGCCTTTTACAGTTATGTAAATATTACTTTAAAATCAGATCAATCTCATAAATTTCTGGGGTTGTTTTGCTTGCAAATGACTGTTGCWTTGCATAGTATGATACAGCTTGAACAGCTGGTCCCAGTTTGTGCAACTCTTATTAAAATGTRTTTAAGGTATATTGTAAAATTTTTATAGTGTGTCAGGGGAAGGCAAAAATAATGACTTTTTTCTTAAATGTTTCAGCAATCTTTTATTGATGATGATCCTGATAAAGAAAAGAAAATAAAGGAACTTGAATTGTTACTTATGTCTGCAGAGAATGAAATCAGAAGAAAACGAGTATCATCTGTAAGAATTGTACAGTTCTTTAAATATTTGAATTGACTGGGATTAATCCTTAGCAATTAAGTAATGGATGCTTATTTTTTGCATGATATTTTTGTCTGACTCTCTAAAATTACTCAAACTTAGTATGAAAGTGTAAAAGAAAATCTATCTGTAATTTGAGACAAAGTATTTTAGTGTGATTCTCTAAATTCTGAAAACAGTACTGAGCAGTGTACTAAAGTGAGATAGCCATTTGGATGTTAAGTCATTGTGGAACCTTCATTAAAAGATAGCTGATCATACTAGGAGTATTTCATGTTTTAGAAACAATTTCTAGTCTTAAAATGTATTTGTATACTGCAGTGMGGATGACTTCATAATGTTCTCGTGTTCAGGAAAACAGGAAACTTGCATCAGGGATGGCTTCAATATAGCCCCTAATAACCAGTACAACCCATAAAGATTAAGCATAGACACATAAGAGAGAGAGAATTTGAATCTTATATGAGTGAGATAAGAGATGATGAATCCGTAGATGCAAGGGAAGGACTGTAACTGCTTTCATGCAAGCAAATAACTTGTGTTTGAAAATGCAAAAATAAGCAGTTACCCTTGGTCTTCCCACATACTTTTCTCCACCCATGCACTATTCTCATGTGTGACTCCTTTTTTGCTTTCAAATCTGAATTAGGCTAATGCATTTCTTCATACTTTTTAGCAAGCTGGAAATCTGCCTAGCTGGTCTGGAGGCTTTGTCATGGAAGACGGTGTGTCGAATACCCTAAATAGCTTTGGGGACCAAACGAGTGAATACTACAGCATAGATGAGACCCAGAGCGCCTCYGTTCAGCAGAATTCACCTACCAAGTATTTGGCTGTGGAAGCAAATGCGGTTTTATCATCTCTACAAACCATTCCAGAATTTGCAGAGACACTAGAGCTTATTGAATCTGTAAGTCTGGTTATGTATTCTAAATAAGTAAATATTTGGGGATATTTAAATTGATTCAATGCGTGTAAGGTTTTTTTCAGTTAGGTATTTTGAAAAGATAAAAGAGAATAACTCTTTGGAGTTATTGCCTCCAGAGGTAGAGAGCTCTTGGATGCTCTTGGATGTTGTTTCACAATCYGGGATAAGTCTTTTTGTGCTTCTGTTTCATACCTTGCCTCAYAGGATCCTGTAGCTTGGAGTGATGTCACCAGTTTTGACCTTTCAGAAGCTGTTGCATCTCCTGTCAAGCCAGCTCCAGTAAAACTAATGCGAATTCAGCACAACGAAAGGGCTACCGAGTGCCAGTTCAGTGTTGTGCTTGATGGCAAGAAGCCAAGCGGAATCAGCAGTGAGGAAGAAGCAGTGTTTTCAGCAACCCCAAACCTAACCAAATTCAGCACTCCACCTACCATCCTAAGAAAGAAAAAGAGACTGCGTGTTGGGCAATCCCCAATTAATGAACTGAATGATGGTTTGTGTAATGAAGCCATCAACGTTGCACTAAAGCACACGCCAGTGAAAACACTACCATTTTCTCCGTCACAGGTAAGTCTCCCTTTAAATAGAAACCATGCACTGCATCGTTTATAAATCACAGTCTCTTCCTGGGTACTATGTTACAGTCTAAACAAATAGGTTCAAGTATCTTAATAAAACATTTGTTAAAGAGTAGATCTATTTTAAAAGTTTTTAARTAACCTACCTCCTCTGTTTTGAAGACTGGATTTTGTGGTCGGTGTTCTGCTTGAGCTTGCACTTTCTCATAGAGATATTGTTGATAGTTCTAATTGGTCCCTGTGTTCATTACCTAAGCAAAGAGTAGGTATTTCTAAAAGCATGGTTTAATTGATAAATTTGGTARATGCCATGCAGTCTAAGTTTAAATAACATATTGGAGTTTATCAGTAAAATCTCTGCCTATAATTTGTGTCCTACTTTTTTTCTTTTTCATTGTTCAGAACAGCTGTAAAGTTTTGTCATTAGTTAGCCTTTTTTTTTCCCCCTCTCTCTAGTTTTTCAACACTTGCTCTGGAAATGAACAATTTAACCTTGAAAATCCTGCATTTACATCAACTCCAATCTGTGGGCAGAAGGTTCTAATTACAACTCCTCTACACAAGGAAATGACACCAAAAGATCAAAAGGAAAATGCTGGGTAGGATTATTACATTAAGAATCTGGTGGTGGTGTTCATCTAAAAGTGCACTTTTCTGAACACTGTGGAAATAGTCTGCACATACAGTATGAATGAGTTCAAAGAACACTGACATGTAAACGCTTGCATGCAGATGTAAATTTGCCTCCTTCTTGGAACCACAGAATTTACTTGCAATCAGTTATTTTTTTTAACAGTTATATTTTAACAGTTTTTTTTAACACAGGACAAAACACAATTAAATTCATTTGTACCTGGGACCAGTTTGTGGCAGTTTAGTATTTCCTGATTTGTGGTGGTGATATCACTTGTGCAAATTGAGATATTTAAAAATGCTTAACTGACTTAAATTCATTTGTATAAACACTTTGCTGTGCTTGAATAGTTTTAGAACCCCTACAATTAGAAGATCTCTGCTGGGTTCAACACCAAGGACGCCGACTCCTTTTAAAAACGCTCTGGCTGCTCAGGAAAAAAAGTATGGCCCTCTCAAACTAATGGTATGTAATGACATAAGTCTGTTTTTTGTTGAAGTAGCCCGGTGCCCTCTCAGTTTTGAAATACAAGCCTATGCATGGTCTTAGAAAGCAATCTGCYATGTCAGGACATTTCCTAAGATCCTAGAGAACAGTTAGTGGATCCACAGTGTTTCAGGGCTTTTGTGTTGGATAGACCGGTGTCGTTGAGCGTAGGACAGAAGCATCTCCTTTGGGGCAGCATTCAGTCCATCTACTCATTTGGTCCATAGCCGTTTTCTGTCACTACTGACAAGGACAGACTTAACACACTGGCTCTGTATTTGTATTTTTTTAAATTGCGGTAGTCTTGCTAAGACTGGTAACATCATTGTCTGAGAATTTGATTTTAATACTCTGGGGTTCTGTTTTTCCTAAGGAGAAATTTTTCCTAAGGAGAAATAAGTGAGAAGAGGGATGGGTATGGCTCCTCCCATTAATGTAATCTGACAAAAGCAGCCTGATGCAGATGAAGGAYTGGCTGCATTATTTTAAGCAACTTTCACACTTGATTTGTAAAGCTTTGTTATCTTTGAAACTTTAGGGCTGTTTAAGAGATGATTTTTTGTTTTCTGGTTTTGGTTCTTCTACAGTGTGGGGAGTGAAACCAGATGTTTGCTACAGCAWGTTAGTATTTGGTGCTTTTTTATGGGAAGGTTTTAGAAGGATTTTGTCTTTCCTAGGATTTTCTTGAGTAAAGTTTAGGTTTTTCTTGATCCTAAAAAACTAGCATTTTTTTTTCCTAGCAGTTCATGGCTACTGTGATTCTTACAGCTGTCTTTTCTGGTGGTATAACCATAATTTTTTTCCAGTGTGTCAGATTTTTGCTCCCTTCGCCTTGCTGAGGCATTTTAATGCATAATAACTTTTGGAATCCAGTAGACATATGCCTTTCAAATTCAGAATAATTTCAAGCCAATATATATTGACTACTGTGTTTCTGCAAACACAGAAGGTAGCTCAGACTTTGCCACAGGGCTTGGCACCATCTGTGTTACCCTATAGATTCACAGTCTCTCACTATGCAAATGGTGTGGTTTGACATTCCTGCTTCTGTCCACTATTAACCTCCTGTTCAAAATCAAATTTTGAGGGCTTAGGGGAATTCTTCTCCTATTGGTACACAAAGGAGCCATCTGTATGGCTTATGTGAAATTCTGTACTCGGGACTTTCAACACAAATCTCTGAATAAGACATTGATAGTTTAATACATGTTCCTCTCCCAACAAGAGCCATGATTTATAGTACAATTTTTCTTACTTTGCTACATATAAAGATTTATTTATCCYTTTTGTCTGTGGATAACTTGCTAAAACATATCAACTGCTCACCTGTTTGTATGTTTTCAGTGTTACCCTGTGTTCTTAGAAGCTAGTGTGTGCATGTATGTATTATCTGGCTGAAAATAATGCGGAGTAATATGAATTATAGTATCACATAGTCTTGAAATGTTGATCTATAGTTAAATACAATAATCTAATCCTTAATCTGTTGCTGATTTTTGATGGATTTTTTATCTGCCCTAGATTAGGTGAACGGAGAATATGATGAAAAGTAGTAACTAATACGCTTCCTATATTCTTCTTTGATTCTAATTAATTTAGTCACAACCACTTGCCTTCCTGGAGGAAGATATTAGGGAAGTTTTGAAAGAGGAAACTGGAACAGACATATTTTTCAAGGAGGAAGATGACCCTATCTATAAAAGCTGCAAGCAAGAGGTAAGACTACCATAATGCTTTCTGACGGGAAATAATTGCCTTTAAACAATGTTTTAAAAAAACTTCTCTGTAAACCATTACAGCACAATTCTGCTAAGAAAGTCAGAAAATCACTGGTCCTAGATCCATGGGAGAAAGAGGAGYTTGGTGCCCAGCTCTTCACTGAGGATAATAATAGTTTGGATGTACAGGTGGGTATTAAAGTACTGAATAGCATCACTGGCAGCAATACTAATGTAAAATTGAATGTCTTCAACTGTATCAGCTAAAATAGAGTGTGGATTTTGGCTAAATTTATCATGCATCTCCACTTTGAAATATTAAATATTTAAGCAACACTTGACTATTGGGGTTTCCGGGCATGAATTTTCCTTCTGCCCCTAGGACTAGGAGGCTTCAGCTGGGGGAGTCCTGTGGATGCCTCATGGAGCTGCCCCTCTCCTGGTGAGGGCTGCACTTGGCACGGATATCGCCCTGCAGCCCTGTCCTCATCCTGTATCGGGCAGCATGGKTTTTTTTCCCTTTTCTTTACATACGAGTAAAGGACAATGCTGTAAAAGTATCAAGCATTCAGAAAATTAGGTTTGTGGTCTTCCTCTGCCAAGGGAATTTGAGATACTTCTCTCTCAGCAACCAGGGCACAAAGAGTATGGAGGTAGGGCTGCTTTGTCCCTCATTTCTTTAAAAAGTAGCTCAATATTTTCTAATTGGGTGACTAAGTGAACAGATAAATCTTTATTCTTGTAATTTGTGGGGAAAAAAAACCCTTTTGTTCTAAGTTACTTGTTAGAATTAATCCGCAAGTGTATTAATTTGAAAGCACAAATGTCTGGATCTTGGTCAGGCATAGAGTTATGTTCCACAGGCAGATATGCCAGTGAGAGGTGAAGTGAAATGAAGAGGCGTTTAAATCCTGCTGCGTTCTGATTATTGTGGCCAGCTTTCCAAATTCCCTCCTTTAATTAACGCCCTCATTAACCGCCCCCGCTGGAAGCGCTGGGTGTTGGATGCGCTGCCACCTAGTGGAATCCCGTGGCTCGCGGGCCGCTTCCATCGGCAGCATCTCTGCARCGGCGGAAAATCAAACCGGAATGCCCACGCTTCCCTTGCACACTCTTCCGTGCCATATCAGAATATTCCTACCCCTCGTGTTCAGAAAAATAAATCGAGGATAGCTGAGGTAGCTGGTGGGGCGTTTGCTCTGTTTCAATGAGGGATTTTAATGGAAACATTTCCTCTTGGGATGGGGGAGATGGTGGCAGTCCCTGACTTCAAAATGCAAAAATGCACCGACCCTTAATTGCTTGTGCATGAGAAAGACTATTGGGAGGAAGGCCCCAGCTAGAATAAATGCTTAAAGGTAGGTTAACATGTTTTAATGGGTAGTATGGTACCATAATAGCTATTATGGAAAAACAAACAAGTATACTTGCCAGTTGCTCGCATCTAAATGTTTTTCTCTTACAAACTTGTCATGTGCTTTGCTGTAATAAATCCAATTGAATTTTTTTTCACTTACATAAAAATTATCARTATATGAAACTATTTTGTCAAATCGTTGAGTAATTAATTCTTAAAGTAGTTTCCCTTGCTAGTACTGATATGATGATAATTTTTTAACTGTAGCCACGTTGTCATTAGTTAGGAAAGAGTTGCATTAGAACTAAATTATAAACTCTTTTTCTTAAACCAATTTTGTAGTTATCGTTTGACTTGATAATGTCTCTTTTTTTAATAAAATGTAGTCAGATATATCATGATTTTATAAACAAGAAAGAAACAATCTACCCGATGCTCAAAGGAATACTGTTTTTTGTTGCCCAGTTGCAGCTGTTTTTTGTTGCCCAGTAATGACTATGAATGTTACTATAGCCTGAGCTTTTTTTTTTTTAATATATAAATATAAAAAACTTGAGGGGGGAAAATATATATTTTATTTTATTACTAAGAGTCTACCTGTTAAGTAGTTGTTTTGGCATCTCAGATCAGAGCAGTTAAAGATCATTTCTATGAAATACTAATTATTATTCCTGTTCCCTACCCTCTTTCTTGTCATTAGTCAGAAAATGTATATGCCACATCTTTATTAATGATACCATTGCTGGAGATTCATGACAACAGATGTAACCTGACATCAGAAAAACAGGATACAAACTCAGCAAACAAAGCAAATGCAGTAATGAAGAAGAAATTGAATACATGTGCTTCAAGACATGCTAGAATGGAGAGATCTCTTCAGGTCTGGATTCAAAATGTTGTTAGTTTGGCAGTGTTTTTCTTTTGGTGTTTGTTTTTGTCTTTTTTTAACTGTTAACTACTAATCTTGTGGGTTTTATCTCATTCTAATGTCCGGAATTGTTCTGTTCAGTTATTTAGTTTGAATTAATGTTTCCAAGATCGTTAATTTTCACAAGTTGATCATTTGTCCATTAAAGAGTATTCCTGTTTCCTTTTTTTAAGTACAATTGGGGTGTTTCACTGAGTGATCCTTATGGTTTCAACACGTCTACCTGGGCCAGAATTATGCACTGAAACATACTTGAAAAGAGAGTTTAGTCCTACCATATCAGTACTCTTGAACCATCTTTCTCCTTTTTCCCCTGAAAAATCCTCCCTCAGTTGACTTGTTTTCTCTAATCATGAATCCCTTCCATGAATTAAATTCCACAGATCTATAGAGAAGCTCAAATGGCTCCTTTTCTCCATGTGTCCATATGTGTAACTGGTTCGGTTGGATCAGTTTCTAGCTTGGGTTGTAGATGGGAGAGAAACTTGCATTCCTCATTCTGCTACAGGCTGCATCTGTCAGGTGCAATTTAGAGATGCAACATAGCAGCTTGAGACTGAATAAACCATGTCAAAACAGGCACTGCTTTTTTTTTTTTTTTTTTTTTTTTTTTTTATGGTGGAAGCAAGTCTAATGAGTCAATTATTCTTCCATTCGTTATTTTTGGTCCTAGATCCTCTTCTCCTTCTGATACATCCTTGAAACATGT